GACGAGAAGTAATATGTCAGAAGTCCTGACGATATGACCGCGGCTTGCTTTGCATCGCACTGTGACATGTCATGACGAGAGAAGGTCAAACGCGTGAATATAATATGATGCCGGGAACACGCGCAGCAACAGGCGAAAGCCGCCCGCAATCTGCGACACGAGCACCGAGAAAAAATCAGGAACCAAAAACGTGTCGATCATGCACACATATTACCTACACTGCGCAGCCTCCAAACGCAGAACAACTGAGATGAAAATTTAAAAAATGCAATAGAAGAAAATAGCAATAAAACTAAAATAATACAAGAATTGAGCCATCGTTATAGGTAGGAGCCGTTAGTTTTATCAAGGAGGCTCAACGACGCGCTCAATATTAAATGACAATGTGCGTCGACATCTCTCGCCGTCAACGCCGGCGAAGAACCTCTTGGATGAGAGTCAGGATAGGTCACATGATTTTCTGAACGCGGTCGTTGGGTGAACACACTCTAAGCTGTGCTGCACTATCCCCAAGTATCGACCAGCTGAGTTACGCCATCGACAAACATCAGCCGGCTGAGCTACACCATCCCCAAGTATCGACCAGCTGAGCCACGCCATCGACAAATGTCAGCCAGTTGAGCCAATCGTTCCCAAGCATCAGCCAGCTAAGTTACACCATTCCCAGGCATCAGCCAGCTGAGCCAGCCATCAACATGGAACTACCGAAGTGCATTCGCATCGATGAGCACATTGGCATTCCATCAATGCGCCGAATGACTCGTTTCAATTCCTGGAGACAGCAGCACCGCCAGGGCTCATTCGAACCTGCTGCAGGCTGGTTCGATGTCACTCAGATAACATACCACATTCCAAACTGTGCATGACGCTAGAAGAAGGAATACAATTACGCTAGATTGACGGTGTCAGTAGCTTGAAGAGCTCCCGGGCTAGCACGCACCAAACAATCGTCATTGCACGCACCAAACATAATCGTCATTGCACGCACCAAACGTCACTTGACAACGTCGCCCAGCCAGGGGCAACAAACAGCGGGTAATCGGTCTGCCCCATGCCTTGTTCACCAGATTAATATCGTTCCAAAACAAGGCTCAAGGACGCCACGCGAGCCAGAACCAGTTAATTTAATGGATGTTTTCATGCTGTCCGCACAATGTCTATTTGAAGGATTGAGAGAGGGCGGCAGACCGCGGCGTAAGCTGTCGATGACCTATATGAGCTCGACGGACACCTCTCGCGAGGTGGAGGCTCAACGCTCATAACCAAACCGGCACCGGGGGACTTTTCTGCATTGTGTTTATTTTCCGCGCTCTATCCTGAGTCAAAACACCCCGTGCTGAACATGACTTGCGATGCTCGCGAAGGCCGCACCCAGTGCCGGCGGTTGCCGAGCCGCAGCCGCTCACTGACCTGGACTGGGGCCAGCCTGCGGGCACGGTGAACTTCGCACGCCGCCGGCAGCCCAGCCCACCAATCGATCCAACCCTGGGCCGCGCACCCTCTCTCTCTCTCTCTCTCTCTCTCTCTCTAGTCACGTGACCGCAGCGAAATGTCGCGGCCGGCAGAGGTAAACAGCGCGCCAGGCGGCGCGCGCCGGGCAGGGCCGGGCGGGGCGGCGGCTGTCGTTACGCGGCGCCACGGCACTAATCGACAGGCGCCCGTCGCTGTCCCTGCTGCTGTAACAGCTGCGACCCTACCGCCGCCCCTGTTGCCGTTCCTGCCGCCGCCGGAGAGACAACGAACAGATGATTCTTTTCGGACAGAGGCGGTCTCTTTCGGACACCGACCGCCCATCTCGCACAACGATGGCCCATCTCGGACAGCGACGTTCCATCTCGGACTGCGACTGTCCATCTCAGACAAGATTGGTCACTCTCGGAGAAAAAGAATCCTCCAGCACAGAAGTGGTCATTTTCGAACAAAGATGGTTTCTATCGAACAGAGGTGGCCCCCTCAGACGGAAGAGCTTTAGTGACAAGGCGTGAACAGAAGAGATAGTCTCTCCCTGACAAGGACGACTCCCTGGACGGGGACGGTCCTCTCCGGTGGAGACGGACAACGGTTCACCGTCCGGCCGCACGCACCACCGTCACGCGTCCCTCCGTCGCCGGCGGATCCAGCGCTGCGCCTTGGTAATCGCGCTCACATGACCCAGCGGGGGCCGCCGCTTCCCACCGGTCGGCCGATCTACATCACACTCAGGGGGAGGAAGCCACCGGGCCGTGTTGCACCGGCGGCGCCGGACCGATGGGCCGGCATCGGTCGGCAGCTGGTGCAACATCGATCGTTCGCTACCGACCGGCGTCGCACCGGGGGCTCCAGTGATACATGGGGCCCAGATCGGGCATCGACTCTCCGTGCCCCACCGCCAGCCGGCACTGAGAGCAGGCCGCCCGACTCGGCTCACACGGCGCCATACAGGAGAGGGGGGTGTCTCCCCTTATCAGCTTCGGCGAGCGTGAGCATGAACACTGGGCGAGGAGTGCACGTAAGCCAACTAAACAAGAAAAGCAACTTACGTCATAAAACGTTTTGTAGTGGTTTACGACACTTCCTAGCGTAAACACTCGCGTGCATACACCGAAGGTGCTTCTAAAGTATGGTGTTCTGCGCGAAGCTTTGAAAAGAGTAATCCCGCGGTTCTCCTTTATGCATTTGTGTCGTTTGCTTGAGTACCGGGCATCTGAAAGGTCTATAAAACTGCCGAGAAGTTAGACGTGCAGTCACTGAAGCTTGCTACTGATAAAGTTCGCTGAGCAGTTGGCCCCATGGCAAGTGGAAACTGTGAGTTGCACGTTTAAAACATTTTAAGTGGAAAACCGTGGCTCCTTCTCAGACGGACGAATATAACCTCTCAGCAGCCACCAATACGCTGACGGCCAATCGACGTGTCTGGGCGTGGGGAATCACACAGGCGAACCCTCATTAGCAGAGTGGCCCTCTGCTAGCAAAATCGATCAAAACTTTAGCTATAAAGCGTGCTATGTCCCGGTTATGGCTTCCGCGAGGTCCCCACTTCAAAACGCCTTAGTACGCTATTTGGCTTATGGGCAAGAAATATCTTCTTTGTTTTAGCAAGCATGCGTGGATATTGCAAAAAAGAACATAAGCGTGGCATTAATTAGCGAGTTTCCTCGGATATCCACCGCGTGTTTGAGTGTACTAGCCTGCACTCCGCCAGGCATCAGTGCTGGGCCTGAACGCCGCTCAGCCGGACCAATACTGGACCTTTCCGCCGCTCAGCCGACCAATACTGGACCTTTCCGCCGCTCAGCCGACCAATACTGGACCTTTCCGCCGCTCAGCCGACCAATACTGGACCTTTCCGCCGCTCAGCCGACCAATACTGGACCTTTCCGCCCCTCAGCCTGCCAACACTGGGCCTGTCCGCCGCTCAGCCGACCAATATTGGACTTTTCCGCCGCTCAGCCGACCAATAATGGACCTTTCCGTCGCTCAGCCTGCCAATACTGGGCCTGTCCGCCGCTCAGCCGACCAATACTGGACTTTTCCGCCGCTAAGCCGACCAATAATGGACCTTTCCGTCGCTCAGCCCGCCAATACTGGGCCTGTCCGCCGCTCAGCCGACCAATACTGGGCTTGTCCGCCGCTCAAACTGTCAATAATGGATTGATGAGATTAGTTTAAAGCCAGTACGCACTATATAAAGGGCAGTAATCACATGTCACCTACCAAGTTGGGAGCGGTACAGGATAGCACCCTCGGCCCGATCTTGTTCAATGTTTTCACAAACGACCTTCCATGTCACCCATCTGACCACAGTAAGACAGCGTCCTATGCAGACGACTCGATCCTGCCCCATAGTGCATCGCTGGTGGGCTCCAGCTGGCATGGTCTGTCCATACTGTCGACGTGACCCAGTTACTGCTACGGACTACTCAAAGCCATTAAAACAGCCAGTATGTGCCGTTGCATACTCTATTATGAACTACAAATGACCATTGCACGCATTGCACGCTTTTGTGATGTGTATTTCTTTTCTTGAGAATGATAAGGCGCCTTTTCATAACGACAATGACTTGGCAGCCTGTATGATTCTCTGGCGGCAACAGAGACAGCCTCCCCACAGCCCACAACGATGCCAACGACACCCATCAACCAGCCCATGAATAAATACTGGCCACGTCCACCGTTGAGCCAGTTTTTGCGGCGCTCTGCGCTGAAACAGGTACGCGCCAAACAACTTACCGATGGGCTGGGCCGTGCCCAGAATAGGCACGTTTTTGCATCCTCGCCTGTGTCCGATGGCAACTCGATTCGGGACTCAAACTGCGCATTCGACCGGCGTGCAGCGCTCGAAGGTCTGCAAGTGGCTGTGCTTGTTGAGCACACAGCGTTGAACAAAAATGTCGATGCCTGTCTTATTTGCCGCATGCATCACATCGTAGCGTGAATTCGTGCGGTAGCAGAGCGACCAGATATGTAGCGACGTTGAAGTTCTCCGAAGGACAGGCGACGCGCCTTACTATTATCTGGCGTGAATGGATGCTTACCCGTTAACTATACCCTGCTTCGCGCGCGCGTCGTTGTGCGTATGATACTACAACACCAATCAGTAGGAAACCGGAGGCTTACAAAAAAGTTGCGGTAGGGCACGTCTTGGGGAAGGGCAAAAGGAACTAAGATAGGATGTGTAATCTATATCGTAGCATTCAACGGCAAAAGTGATTCTACTTCCTGCAAAGTTGTGGAGCATCACGCGCCCTCCAACTTCGCGCCTGTGTTAAGCCATCACAATTTGTAAGCGTCGACCAAACATACGTCCGGTAACAGACTCGGACGAGGTGACGGGCGTGGACGAGGAGACAGACTCGGACGAGGCGACAGACGTGGACGAGGAGACAGACTCGGACGAGGCGACAGGCGTGGACGAGGAGACAGACTCGGAAGAGGCGACACGTTGGGACGAGGCGACGGACGCGGATGAGGCGACAGGCTCGGATGAGAGTCTGAGAGCTGCGTGGCCGAACGCTACTCACCATCTCCTCCACCCAGACGGGCTCGGTCGAGTACTGCCGAGACAGCGAGCGGGTCTTGATCGGCGGTGGCCGACTCGGCGGCTTGCTATCCCCGGGCGATGACATGGTCCCAGCACCGATTGCAGACGGACACGGGATGTCCCAGTGGGTCTCAGCACCGACTGCAGACAGACACGGGAGGCGTCAGGGGATCCCACCACCTACTGCAGGCGGACACGGGAAGCGTCGGTGGGTCCCAGCACCGAGTGCAGACGGACACGGGATGTCTCAGTGGGTCCCAGCACCGAGTGCAGACGGACACGGGAGGCGTCGGTGGGTCCCAGCACCGAGTGCAGACGGACACGGGATGTCTCAGTGGGCCCCAGCACCGAGTGCAGACGGACACGGGAGGCGTCAGCGAGTCTCAGCACCGAGTGCAGACGGACACGGGAGGCGTCGGTGGGTCCCAGCACCGAGTGCAGACGGACACGGGAGGCGTCGGTGGGTCCCAGCACCGACTGCAGACGGACACAGGAGGCGTCGGTGCGTCTCAGTGCAAACTGCAGACCGACAGGGGAGTTGACAGTTAATGATATGTTGGCTGTATGTGACATACATCGAACATCGTCTCATGGTAGGGGGAACCGAGATGAAGAAAATATCGCAGACAGCCGGACGCCCTCTCGCGATAACAGGGTCAATGCTCAGCAGTTGTGTTTGCTATGGTGCACGAAGAAACAGCTGCGCACGAAGAAGAAGCTCAGTGCTAAAGCTTGCTTCTTCCCAGATTTTCACTTCAAGGACACATAATGCTGCCGTAATGACAAGTTACGAAATGTCCTACGATGCATGCACGTACGACGCCTGCGCTTGCAGACATCATCTCGATATTTAATCTACCTTATATCAAGCCAACCAATGGCTCGAGGCAACTTTCCCGCACTAGAACCTGCCTTTAGATTTGGTTCCAAACGATTTCTTGCCTGGAGCGTGGAAAAGCCAGTATCGGATTTCATGCCCGGAAAAGCGCACGTATCTAAACCGTTTCGCATTTCCGAGTGCGGAGCTCATTGGTGGCATCGCGACAGCTAGTGCGGCACGCTCCGGGCCGCTGACAACGGCTCGTGCGCGCCAGCCCCACAGACGGACGGGCTGGCGGTGAGCACCGAGCGAGGCGGCGTCCCAGACTTGGCACGGCAGCGCCACAGGGTCGCAGTTCCAAGCCGTCCCTATACTGGGCCGCGGCCTGCGGACTCCCGATACTGGGCCGCGGCCTGCGGACTCCTGATGCTGGGCTACGAACGGGACCACAGGATGGGCAGGAGAGCCGTCCGCACACCCCACCGACGGAGTAGCGGGATAACAAGGGCCAGAGGACTACGACACCCCACCGACGGAGTAGCGGGATAAAAAGGGCCAGAGGACTACGACACCCCACCGACGGAGTAGCGGGATAACAAGGGCCAGAGGACTACGACACCCCACCGACGGAGTAGCGGGATAACAAGGGCCAGAGGACTACGACACCCCACCGACGGAGTAGCGGGATAACAAGGGCCAGAGGACTACGCACGAGACAAGCGCCAACCAAAACTGAATGTCGATGGCGTAATTAATGATGCCGTCCATCGATTCATCGACTCCAGGCCTCTCAAGGACCCCTCCCATCGGTCGGACGAGTGGTCAGGCCCTCGTCCAAACGCAGCACGCGCACGGCCGGAGCACCGCCCTGCGTCCACTGGCAGCACGCGCACAGCCGGAGCACCACCCCGCGTCCACTGGCAGCACGCGCACAGCCGTAGCACCACCCCGCGTCCACTAGCAGCACGCGGACAGCCGGAACACCACGCTGTTGTGCGGCTGGTCGGGACGCCTTTGACGGCCGAGCAGGCCGACTTTGATGGGTACGGTGCCGCTTGGCGCGAGCCGGGCTTCATTTCCCGCTGGGCTGCTGGAGCGGCCGGCGCGCTCCACGCGCGGTCAGGAGTGCTGATTGGCCACATGTTAGAGCTGCCAGACGGACGAGCGTGACCGCTGGAGAGCACCGACTCCGGAGCGAGGTCAAACCGGAAAACTGGGCGCCGCGCCAAACGCCGTTATTGAAAGCCAAACGTACGAGTTGACTGGTGGAAAATGATCGATGCCGAGACAGGTTAACGGTATAAGGCTGCGGAAAGAAAGGTTTTTGGATGACAGTTGTGAACATTGCTAAATTCAGTAGAACTCAGAAGAGCATTGTCATATCGCTCATGCCGCATTTCCATCCATTCATGTTTAATTGTGGTACGTATATCAGCACGATGATAGCATTTGCAAGACTCAAAACGCTTTTTGAACACATCAGTGAGCTCACCCCACTTCACCGAGTTAAACTGTGTTTACTCGGTGGAGTGGTGTGAAAGGAAACTCGAAAATGACTAGGGTAAACTGTGTTTACTCCTTTTGAGAGCCAGACATCGCGCGGCCCAGAAGCAGAGTTTCCATCCTTTCTATGGCAGCACTTTGTAAGGCGATGGCAACTTGTACGTACTGACCACATAGGCGGATCCTGGTGGGGGGGGGGGGGGGGCACGGGGCCATGTCCCCCAAAACTCTGAGAGTATATTTTGCCCCCCTACCCAAAACATTCCCAGAACTTCATAAAAGTTTCGTCTACTTACCTCAAACATGTGCCTCAAAATAATAGCCTACGCAATAGCAAATACATAATAGCAAAATAATACCTCAAAATGAGGGTTGCCAGCTTTGTAAACATGCATACTGTATATAAAAGATTCAAACGTATTTCGGTGCTTGAATGGTGTCCCTACTAGGTACTCGCGAGAGGCACCATGCACTGGACCTCGGATCCCACACCAGCCAGTTGGCGACGAAAGCTTGCCACCCCCCCCCCCCCAAAAAAAAACAACTCCAGGCTAGATCCGCCCCTGACTGACTACATCCGCTGTGTTACCTTGCGCTAATTCGTTTCTTTTTGGGGCCCCACCCAAAAAAGTAACGTCATGAAATAAGGCTTGGTGATGAAGGGAAAACGTTCGCAAATGTAAAGAAGTCATCACTAGAGCACTACAACCGTTTTTGAGGAGGACATGACGCCGAGCCACGTGAACTCAAGTGCGTGCGGCGAAAAATGGCCTCGAAGTCGGCGCGCCCTCAAACACTGATAAACACATTAATAACTCAGCCCAGCGGGGCACGCAAACGCCCTGACGAGCCTGGGCAGAGATGTAATCAAGTGCGATGACCGGGGGTACGTTCATTCCCTGTCACCTGTCTGACTGTGATTACGCGCATGTGAAGAAATGTCGACATTTTCAAGATCAAGGTGAATTAATACAAATGATGGACAGCAAAAATGACACGCCAAATACATGCATCACGCAGATACTACGCCGCACTTGAATGAGTTCTTTGATAACAGCATTGGAATCGGGCGCCCGGAACCGTACGCAGAATTTTGCAAAAGTGAAGAGGGGCATAAACCAGCTTTGCAATAAAAAAATGACCTGGCGCGCAAAATCTGTTGCATTGCATAAAACAACATTGCGTGTTATTACCGATCTACCAACTTGCAAGTTCTAGATCGTTGTTTCAGTGCCAACATTTCTTCACGCATGCATCAATAAATGTAACAAATCTGAAAAGGGAGAGGCATGTAACCTAAGGGTCAATGTGTGAAAACGCCCCAAGTGCCTCACATTGCAGAATCCTGCATGCGCCCCCGAGTGGAAGACATATGCGGTGAGACATTGTGATTGATAGCGATCCATTCCTCTGCAGTACATTCGGGGCAGAAGAAACAAACACGCGCGACAGCTGGCAGCGTTGACGGTCACTCACGCTTAACGCGTCACGACCTCAGGCCACTAGGAGCAGGATGCGGCGCTTCCACGGCTCGTGCGGTGACGTGGCCGTTGCCCTCCGACGCCGCTCACTGCCGTGTTGCACTAAAAATACCGGTGGTCGGGCAGGCGTCGGCGCGCGCTACTCCACTGCAGCGCGTCGGTGAGCCAACTGTGGCGTACGTCCCACCGCGCGGCGCGCCGCCCCCCCCCCCCCCCCCTCCCTCTCTATCCCCGTCCGGCACCCCTTCACGCGCGCCGAGGGGGGACAGCACACCGGCCGAATTCGGGGCTGAGTGGCCGGCTTCGGCAGCGGGGCGGTGGTTTGCCTTGGCCGAAGTCGCGCGCGAGCTGCCCACCGGTGGCAGAGGCGGCCGGGTTTTTGTCGGTGTGCATTTGTAGGGTGTCCAGGGATGGCGTGTGGCGAGCGGTGGCGAGCGGAGGATCGTGGCGGTGCGGTCGTCGTGAATGGGTGCCAGATTGGTGATCATGAATAGCAACATGCCGGGGACATTATTGGCGAAGCTGGCTGTTTTAATTTATCTTGCAAGAACCGTCAATAGTAAAGGTGTACGCGGGCAAGTTGTCAATAGGCACATGTTATTATTCGGCGGAAATCGACGTACGCTTAGAATTCACTCAAAACCTGTCGGAACCTGGCACACGCGGCTTCTTTGCCGGCAGTGCTTCGAGAGGAAGTGAGTCGTTAGGCCCTAAAAATATATAAATAATCGGTCAAGACTGGTCAAAATAAGGCAACGCTCCCAGTTCGGCCACGCGTTTCTACATCTCACTGGTTCCAAAGCTCGCACTGGCTGTGAGGTCATTATGAAGCTTTTGTCACGAACTGTGACGGTCTTTTGTCCAACGTTTGATTTATCTGAGGAACTCCATGCTGTGGCAAACCGGCAAACTCTGATTTTATTGGCGTGCCGAAAGTTGTGAACTCGAGAGGTTACCATTACGCCATCAATATTCACCGTCCCACATACATCCCAGATAATGGATGCTCCAGACTGTGGCATGGGGCCTAAATATATTCTATTGGAAAGGCAGTGGGTGCGGTCACCATTAAATTCTTAAGGTCAAACAAGGTCACCGACGCTAGACGAACATCAGCGCCCTTTTGCTTAGAACAGGTACCTAGGCTCAATGCAAGGGCACTTTGGACACCAATCTGATGTTTGAACTTGTTCACCTTATTTGACCCGAAAGTCGTCAGCCAGGAGCCTCACATTTTGGCACAAGCGAGTTTACATACTCGCCAACCTCACCCTGTGACTTTGGTGCTTCTAGCTGTCTTTCATTTTTGAAAACAAAGGAGAGTTGTATTGACACCCCACCAGAACGAAAGTTTTTTTTACCGGCCACCCGGGCTCGCGTTAAACGTTGTGGAAAATAAAGTATTGCAATCTGTGAAGGGCACTGATAGTGTAGTGCTATCTACCCGTAAGTGAAATCGGGGGCACGAGGTTCGATTCTTCGCCCTTCCCGTCAGAGCAAGAGGCGGGCGATGCCATATAGCCTCAGCAGGTGAGTGCGTCTCACAGGGAATGTTTCACGTTTGAAGATGCCGAAGCACGCATCAGATGTGATGAAATCAGTTCACTTATAACTATTGGTATACTGTTAGCGGAAAAGACTTCTCTATATAACACAATATCTCTGCTAATAAATTTTATCCTGTATACGTCATGGTTTGATTACGACATTGTGCCTTGGACAACATTGATTAAGAGCCAATTGACGGCCGTTATACCTGGAAATTGTGCTCACGAGCGCCAGATATGAACGGCTCGACTATCATACTTTGCTAAGGCTTGATTGCCTCATGAGTAATACAATTGTAGGATTTGAATGACACTTTTTGACGCCATGGACGTCTAGGCGACATTGAAATAGTCTCCCCGAAAAACACGCACATCTTTGCGGGTGGCAGCTCAGAAAATGGAGGGGCCTAGGCCTTAAGAAAAGAGAGCTTTCAGCTGTACCAGATGATATTCGAGATAGCCATTTCAGTTGAAAACCCTATACAAATGTTGAACACTCTCTTTAACATGTTTGTATGCTAATCTGTACTCACTGCCTCCTCATAAGACGCGGGGTTTGCGCGACCGCTGCTAACCAGGCACATCTACTGTCCCTTCGACTGAATATATTTGGACTCTATGTCACAACCCGGAGCATCCAACGCCCTGGAACGTATGTGAGGCGGTAAATGTCGATGACGCACTGGCAACCTCTCGAGTTCACAACCTCCAACACCTCAGCGTTTGCGTTCGCGATGTGCGCGATGTTCTGCATGGCTAGATATATTGCTCCTTGACCTACCACAGCCGCCTTGCATCCTTACCCTCGTGGGGTTTCCTGTGCTCCCATTTCGACTCTAATCAATAATACAGATAACTAGCAATACAAGAATGGCCACATGATGGGCAGTGGATATGAAGGATAATCAAATACGAATATCAATTCAGCCGGCGACCGCCAAGTGCCCCCAAAAGCATTGATCCACGACCTCGTGCAGTAACACCCATTGCAAACCTCTGTGCGTACAGCGCTGGTATGTGTAAGCTCGACAGACACAGCGAACCTCTTGGCTTGTGTTACCAGCTGTTACTGCCCGCCTCCACTCCCGCACCGAGCTGATGTCTGTCTTTAACTTCCCCAGCACACGAGAGACCGGGCCACAGGTCGCCTAGGGCCGACACGCCGCAAACCAACCACCGCCCGGGTCACGGCGCCCCGGGCGCCGCGACCTCCGACCGGCGAGCGGACCGGACGCGCCGCGCGGCCGGGAGCGGGGCGGTTAACATGAGGAACACTGTTACACGTGGATATAACGGCCAATTGTTGTAAATCTTCTATGGACTGGGAAACCAGAGATACGGGGTTCCACCCCGGGGTGGCTGCTCTTCATGCCAGGGTGATAAGCTGGCGACGTCATATAGCCTCAGTAGCTGAGTACATCGTAAAGCCCCAATGACGACAGCAATACTTTCGGGAGCACGTGAACGAACGAAACAGAACTCATCACTAGAAACCGAAACTCTTACAGCGCAATTCCACAGGGCCAGTGGGAAAAGAGAATGCTGTTAACAGTACAGAATACTACGCTTGCTCTTGGTATTTTGATCAATCTCACCTGGCCAGAATATGTCAACACGCAATGACGTCCGTCGTTTCTTCCGAGGGACTGATAGCTTCCTCAACCAATACCTGATGTCCCATCAATGGTGAAGCTTTGCATCCACGGTCACCCCGAATACACAGCAGCATGCTCCGAATGCAGTCTTGGTGCAAACGACAGACTCTGCAGAGAGCTTTCCACAGGGCGTCTCAAAAGCTTCCCAGGGTGCGTCACAGAGCTCCCTGGAAACCCCAAAAACTCCCCAGCAGACGGCTGTGAGTACTCAGGAGCCGTCGGGATGGCCCGGCAGGTTACCCCCGTGAGCAGCTGGAGACCTTCTCAGGGAGCTTCCGGGGAATTCCTCGCAGAGCTCTCCGCGGTGTCCCTCTTCACCTCAGAATGCAAGGTGGCGCCGCTGCGGTGAGGCCGGTCAGGAAGTGCGAATAAACGGGCCGGAATACAGGCAGTGCGAAAATTCCCATCATGGTTGAATACGCGGGTCAGTCGGTCAGCTAGGCGTACACTTGAGTGCTGTGTTGGCACTCTTAACGCTAAGGGCAGGACAGACCCGAGCGGCTGGCGTACATCCCACTGACATGTCAGGTCAGGCTGCCAGGGGAACGGAGTCACTAGCCTAGGTCGGTGGGCTGTGTGACCTCATCGTCGTCGATTCCGGCTGACTGGGCCGAAGACAGTTGTGGTCCAGATTTCTGAGTGTGCGGTCGCGCTGCTCCGTGTGCAGAGAAGTTACAGAGATTTGCATATCAGGGCGGCACCACCGGGTAGGGATTGAGGGAACCTGGGTATGTACTTTTTCAATTTTCATTCTTTCCTACCATCTGCATAACAACATTCTCATTTTCCACGTAGAGTTAAATTCAACATTTTGAGGGGGGCACGTCTGCATTTCTCGGTGGTGCCGCCCATGTCTGCGTGCTCGCTGCTCGCAATTGTCACCGACGAAACTGAGCGAAAACAGATGGTGCTTTACCCCAGATTCCGTTCGCAATGCCACCTAGCTGCTCTGCTGGAAACTTAAGGTTCACTGAGCTGCCGCTTGGGAGGGATCGGCGGCGGCAACAATGAAGAATCGGCAGTGAGAGGAAATCCAGTTTTAATATTGCGATTTAAACATGCTTTTGCGTTTGCGCTAAAACGTCAACATTTTTGCATACATGATAGTTTTTTCCGATGAAATCTACATGATGGCTGATGCATCAGGCACCGTTGGTTGGTGCAACACGAGGTGTGTGGTGGTATGGTGGTATCAGTGGTATATCTTCCAAGACATACCTTTCTTGGTAGGTATAGGTAAGATATAGGTAATATATACATCGGAAACCACTGCTGGTTGATATAACCAAATAAGCACGCTGGGAAAGTTTGAAATAGTTCCAACGTTAACACGCGCTCGGGTGGGGGTGGGGTGGGGGGGGGTCAAATTGACCCCCGAAGGTTTTTCCAGAATGGTTTCCGAACGGCGCGGTGTAAGTCGCGCCCAATTTTGCATAGCTGTAGACAGTTGAAAAGCAGATTGCTTGTCATCACAAATTTAAACGTACCTTGTAAGATCGCTGACCTATGGTAGGTCAAAGTCAGGCCGCGGTTTTAGCGAAAGCAATTTCTACGAAATCCTTCAATCTGATCCAACAACAAAGTGTTAGACAAAGCCATACATCTCTGAGATGCTTTCTTAGGCAATATCACAGTTAAATGAGCAAACTACATTGACCTAAGGTCAGTTATGAATCTCACGCCAAGGTCAAAGGCAATCTGTTTTGTTGCTCTAGGGCTTGCTATATGGGATAGTTTGTGGTGCTCATTTCGAATTTATTGATAGCAGGGGCCGCATGATGCATCTTCCATGGATTTCTTAGAGGTCAGAATAGGTCATTGATCTAAAAGGACCTAGGTCAACATTTTGTTTTAGGAACATACTGCCTAGCGTAATCTTTGTCGCTTAGTTAAATGCAAAACTCAAAGTGATTTCGTACGATTTTGGTCACCTTGACCTTCAAAAAGTCAAACATGGTCACTGATATTG